GGGGCCCTCCAGGCCTTCCAATGCAATCTCGGAGGGCCTCAAGAGGGCTCCAAGAGAGCCTCAGGAGGGCCTCAAAATTTCAAATATATTGACAAACTTTGAAGCTCTCTTGGAACCGTCTTGAGCCCGCTCGAAGCCCTCCGGATCGCACTGGAAGGCCCTGGAGGGCCCGGGCAATGCTCCAAGAGGGCTCCCAGAGGGCCTCAAGACGGCCCTCAGCGAGCCCCACGAGGGCCCCAAGGGGGCCCAAGAGATACCCAAGAGGGCCTCTTGTGCACGACCACTTGCGTATATGAACACTGCTGCCCATGACCACTCTCGTATTCAACTGCTATTGTATATCACCCCTCCCTCCTGGCTCATCCCTTCACCCTCGTCGCTCCTCCTGATGATCAGGGCAAGTCGCCTGGTGATTTTTTGGACGGGCTGGCGGGGACGCGCGGAGCGCCAACAATTTCTGGAAGCCTGCTTGAGGGGTCAAGGGAGCCCCAAGTGGGCCCCGTGAGGCCCACAAGAGGACCTCGGGAGAGCCCCGCCTGGACCCCAAGAAAATCCAAAGTTGGGACGCGCGCTGCATCCTGATTCAGGAATGTCTCGGGGTCCACTTGATGCCCCGTGGGGGCATTCTCCGGGACTTCCTGAAACCCGCCCGAAGCCGGAGGGAGCCCGCGTCGCCGAGAACTCGCTAATACGGCTTTAATAAAATCTAGTTACCCCCCAAGAGGGCCCAAATCCAATATTCAAAATGCTTTTTGGCTCTGTGCCATCTGGGGATCCATCCGGGGTCCTCCTGGAGCCCTCCTGGGGGTCTCCCCAAGGCCCACCCACAGCCCCCTCGAACCCGTTGAGGGCCCCAAAGAACGCCCCAGAGGGCACCCATCAGAAGGGGTCCAAATACATGTATGTTTGGAGGGCCCGCATCAGGATGCACGGTGCAACATGAGTTTGGGCCGTTGCGTGGGCCACGCCGGTGCCCTCTTGGAGCCGTCCTGGGCAGCGCCGGGGCTGTCCTGAAGCCCCGAGGATGCCCCGAGAGAACCCCGAGAGCGTCCCAAGGAGGCTCCTGCAAGCGACATTTGCATGCACACTTTTACGTCGCATTGTTTCCGCGTGCCCCCTTGAAGCAAGAGGGTAAGGTTTTCCTCGATGTGGCATGCATTGCCGTTTGCCCCACGGCGCGGCGTCGTGCTCAACGACAACGTCCCCGCCATGCCATTGCGGTTGCATGATGCACCGTGTACCTTGACCTGGGGCCCACTGGGGGTCGGCTTGGAGCCCTCTCGGAGCTCTTTTGGGGGCCTCAGAAGACCTTTTCTTCGGAGCCTCGTTGCGGCTTCGGGGGGGGGGGGCCTCGCCCAGCTCGCTCGAGGGAAACCGCGAGCTCCGGAGTCCGACCGCCAGCATCAATCGTCTGGCAACCCCCGCATATCCTAACATTCTCGGTAACCTAGGAAAGCGGGGCCCCGGGCGTCAGCCGAAATCGACGGCGAGTTGTTGTCAAATCCCTGCAATTTCCGCGAGGGGCCACTGTCGAGCATTGATTCTGAGACAAACACAAAACGCACGCGAGTGGTTAAGATGATCGAGTCAACAGTAGCACCGAAAAGTGTCAGCGGGCAATCATACGTTTCCTCGAGTTGCGAAGCCGCTCGCGCCCCAAGATGCAGATGCGATGGTGCCGCATCTGAAAACATTGTAGACGCACGCGCAAGAATGGCAGCGATGCTCCCATTGTTCCTTCGCCAATTCCGCCAAACAAGCACGCATTCCGACTCGATCGGCGAAGCTGCGCGGCACACTTGCTGCACTTCATGACTTCTGTTTGCGAATTCCTTTGGGGCGGCGCCGGTCGTGCCCCGAGAGCGCTTCGCGCGTGGGCAATGCATTTTGCTCGAGTCTGCAGCTAACGCACGCGCGGACCGCATTGACCTCGAAAACGCAAAACTCGCTACGCAAGGGCATGGTTTGCTAGGGGTCGGTTTGGCCGCCCCTGACACATATGGCACGCCACTAGCCGCGACAGGAATCCGTCGAAAATTGCCGCTTCTCCCCGCCGCCCACGGCAACCCCCTGGGCGGGGGCCGCCGGGTAGCAGGAAGAGCAGAAGGGGGGCCTGGGGGCACCAATCACGGCGACTCCTTGCGCAGCTACGCGGTCCGCGCCCACGTAGGCCACGAGCGGGGCCGACGCGCTTCGAGGCGAACCAAGTGTGACGACACGACTGAGCTGCAAGGGCCTGTCGCGCCGCTCACGATGCCGCGGCTGGAGTTCGCCGCGCCGCTCACGGACGAGCTGCTGGGCCCCGCTCGACCCCCCTCGGACGAATCGGAGAAAGGCGCCAGGGTGGCAGGAACGCGCACGCGCGCGCACGCACGCACGCACGCACGCACGCACGCACGCACGCACACACACACACACACACACACACACACACACACACACACACACACACCACACACACACACACACACGCGCGCGCGCGCGCGCGCGCACACCTCATTCGCCACCTCCCCGTCGACGTCCTCGTCCTCCGCGACCTCCACCTCCATCCTTACTTCTTATGATTAGACACCCCCGCATCCCCACCTAGCCGGCCGATAGCCAACCCGCCGTCCTAACGTTGGAAAAAAACAATGCAAATTCAACTTTTAACTCGCCATCATGTCGTCGAGTTGCGAAGAATGCAACAGGAATGGGACGAAATGAACATCGCTCGGGAGGCTCTGAGCGGGCGGTCGCGTCCTACCTTTCAAAACACAATACAAAGTCTGCGTTTTTTTCTCGCCAACATGGACTTTCTTGTCGTCGACGCTGCGGAAAGTGTAACAGGAATGGGACGCGGCGTACATCGCGCGCGGACGCCTGGCCAATTCTACGCGAGACCCCCGTCCTACATGTCAAAAAACACAGCAACGTCGACGCTTTTCTTGCCAACATGTACTTTCTCTCCGTCGGCGCCGCGAATCGCGCAGCGGGAATTGGACGCGGCGCACTTCGCGCAAGGACGCCTGCTCGTCATCATGGACTTTCTTGTCGTCGACGCTGCGGCCCGTCGGTTTGAGGAGCTGGGCGGGCGGCAAGTCACAATGACTCAAACAAGCGCGGTTCAAGCAAGTGCCTCAGGAGACCCCCAAAAGGTCGAAAAAAATCGCCCAGGAGGTCCTGGGGGCAACAAATATTGATGTTCATGGTGTTTGAAAGATTGTGAGGTTAGCACGTACCTGTGTTGACAATGTTCCAACCCGGAATATATATCCAAGAGGCCCTCAGGCGTATGCTGGAAAGCTCCCAGGACGCCCCGCGAATTCACAAGAGGCATTATCCTCTTCATCCTCAGTTTCTCCCTCCCTCCCTCTCTCCCCCCCCTCCTCCTCCTCCTCCTCCTCCTCCTCCTCCTCCTCCTCCTCCTCCTCCTCCTCCTCCTCCTCCCCCTCCCCATGCGCGGCAGGAGCGAAACGATTGGCGGTGCAACGCGCGTGGCTGGAATGAGACGCGGCTCACTTCGCGCGCTGGACATGTTGTCGCCGACGATGCAACATGAGAGGCCGGAGCGGGGCGCGGCGTACATCGCGCGCGGTCTTGTTTCTCGTCGACGTTGCTCAATACGCGGCAGGAATAGGACGCAGTTCATGTCGCGCGCTGAACGCCTACCACCTCAAACCTCCACCTCCACCTCTGCGATCTCCACCTCCACCTCCAAGTCCTCCACGCCCTCGTCCTCCATGCCCTCGTCCTCCGAACCGTCCTCCGCATCCTCCAGCTCTTCCGTCTCCACGTCGTCGCCCGCGTCCTCGTCCGCCGCCTCCGGCTGCCTGCAGCCCATCCCCTGGAGCTGCCCCCAGGCCGCGTCCAGCCGCAGCCGCAGCTCGTGCACGCCAGCTTCGACCACGCGCAGCTGCGCCCAGACCTCCGCCACGCGCGCGTCGGCCACGCGCGCGGCCACCAGCCTGGCCAAGCGCTCAGCCTCGGCCAGGTGTTCGGTGTCCGCCAGGCGCGCGGCCGTGTCCGGAGCTGCGTCCGGGCAGCGTCCAGCCGCGTCTGCAGCGCAGCGGTGCCAGCCTCAGCGGACCCCGCGCTCGTCGGCGGCGGCGCACCCGAAAGCCTGGGCGGGGCCGCCAGCCCGTAGCCGCTGCAGCGGCCAACAGCGGGGCCGTTGCCGCCGCACAGGCCGCCGCGGCCATGGAGGCAGTGGCAGCGGCAGCAGCAGGCCCAGCGGAGCCGCCAGCGGCAGCGGAAGCCGCCGCGGCGGCCGCGCAGGACGCAGCGCGGACGCCAGCGGCTTGAGCCAGAGCGGCTTGAGCCAAGGCGTAAACCAAAGGCTTGAGCCAGGCCAAAGAAGGGGGCAAAGTAACAATGAAAGTATTCCCGATATATCTCTAGAAATATTATGGATGTTCGTTCCCCCCTCCATTTCCCACATGCTTAAATGTTTTCAAGGAGTCGACGATTGGTTGTGTCTGTGTCTTTTCTTTCCTGAGAGGAAAGAAGAATGGAGAGGGACGGGGAAGAGAGAGGGAGGGGGAGGCAAGCTTGGTGCGCCCGCGCCACTTCTGCTATCCTGACCCACCCACCCGTCCCTTCCCATTGCGCTGATGTTTATCTATCCACGAACGCGTGGAGGAGGTGGCGGATGAGCAGCAGGATGAGCAGGAGAAAAAAGAGGAAGTGGAGGAGGAGGAGGAGGAGGAGGAGGAGGGAGGAGGATGAGAATGAACGGCAGCAGCGGGAACTGAAATGGAAGGAGCGGGAGGAGCAGGAGGACCAGGGGAAGGCCGCGGAGGGGAAAGAAGGGGGGCGGCAACGATGAGGAAGGACTCGGATCCAAACAAGTGGCCCGCGCTGGGATGGAAGGGGGCAGAGGGGGCCAAGAGCGGGCCAGGGGAGGCCTGAAATCACGAAGGCAGGTGGGGGGCCCTCCCTTCCGGTGTCTCCGCCCCCCTCGCTCGTGCTCCCACCGGCGCGAAAGCGGAGCACCGCCCCGACCCTTGCCCCGACCCTTCCTGAGGGACAGCCACGGCAGCGTTCGCGACTACCTCCTTCTTCTCCGGCTTCCCCGGCGAGAAGTCCTGCGGCAGGACAACCTCGGCCGCGCAGCAGCATGTGCCGTTCTCCCTTATAGCTCGGTCATGCTGACCCTCCGGATAGCCGCCCCGCGTCGCACGTCGCACACGTCGCCTCCCGCAGGAGGTCGCCAAAGCCCTATACAGCCTGGCAAAGACACCTCCCCATTACCCCAGGAGCATCCGATACTTCGTCCTCTTTATGGATGGCCTGGATTGCCCGCGACTGGGTAACACAACTTACTCCCATAGGCCAAGAGAGGGGAGGGGGTCAAACGCTGCCTTAGCCCCCTGGGAGTTCCCCTCGTCCAGTCGTCGTCCTCCTCCTCTTCCTCCTCCTCCTCCTCCTCCTCCTCCTCCTCCTCCTCCTCCTCCTCCTCCTCCTCGGAAAGCCCCTGGAGCGTTGATTGCCAGGGACCCGTCGAGCAGACCCTGGAACGGTGCGTTCCATGAATCCGAGGGACTGAAGGGTGAATGACAACGCGCGCACACCCACACTCCCGGTACGGAGAGGAGGCTCCGACATAACACGCATCAGGAGGAGAAGGAGTGGGACAAGGAGGGGAAGGGAGAAGGAGGAGGAGGAGGAGGCAGGAGGAGGAAGGGGTCATGGGTTTGGGATCAGATCAGGTCAGGAGGAGGAGTGGGCTCGGGAGAAGAAGAAGTGAGTCAGGAGGAGTTGCTGTGAGGACGACGAGGGTGACCAAAGTCAAGAGGGGGCTAACACGACAGCCACGAGGATACACATCTGATAGGGTTAAATGCAGCACGTCCCTCAGGAATGCATCAACCTCCGTTCCTCTTCCGTTCCTCTGTTCCTCCGCCCATCATCAACCTCATCATCCTCATCATCGTCCTCATTATCATCCTCATGCTCCTCCTCTCCGCCTCCTCATCGTCATCATCACCATTAAAAAACACCAACAACAACAACGTCATCATCAACATCAACATCAACAACACCATCATGACCATGATCAGCAGCATCGACGTCATCAGAATTAGATGTGCAGCATCGTCATGGTCATGATCATCATCATCATCATCATCATCATCAGCAGCATCAGCAGCAGCAGCATCATTGTCATCATCATCATCATCATCATCATCATCATCATCATCATCATCATCATCATCATCATCATCATCATCATCATCATCGTCGTCAGCAGCAGCAGCATCGTCAGCAGCCTAGTCGTCACCGATACCGTAATCATCGAATGCATTATCATAATCGTTGACACAGTCATAAGCATCGTTATCACAATCCTCATCATCTGCAGCATAAGCATCATTAACATCACCACCATCATCAGCATCAGCATCAGCATCAGCATAATCATCATCCTCATCCTCCTCGTCATCGTCATCGTCATCGTCATCATCGTCCTCATCATTATCAACATCAAGAGCACCACCATTATCAGTATCTTCATCCATCAGCATCATCATCATCATCGTCATCAACATCATCGTCATCATCATCAGCATCGTCATCCTCGGCATCCTCGTCATCATCGTCATCGCCATCGTTATCCTTTCTGCATCGTCATCGGCATCCTCATCGTCGTCGTAGTCGTCGTCATCATCACCCCCTCACCACCACCAATCATAACCATAATACTAACCAGCATCACCAGCACCACCAGCAACATCAGTAGCTTCACCATATTACTATCAGCAGCGCCATCGGTATCATCGGTGTCGTCAGCATCGTCGTCATCGTCATCGTCACTATCATTGTCATTGTCCTTGTCGTAGGCGTCGTCATCGCCATCGTCTCGTCACCGACATCGAAATCGACATGATCATAATCATCATCATTATCATCCACATCATTATCATCATCAGCATCAGTATCATCATCAGCATCATAATGATCAGCAGCAGCAGCATCATTATCATCATTCACATCGTCGTCGGCATCCTTATCATCACCATCATCATCAGCATCATCAGCACTGGCGTCATCAGCATCAGTAACATCGTCATGGTCATCGTCACCGTCATTGTTTGGTCATCGGCATCGTCATCACCATCGTCATGCTTGTCGTAATCGTCATCAGCCCCACCACCACGACCACAACCACTATGATAACCACCAGCATCATCACTATCAACAGCACCGTGACCATCGCCGCAGTGTTATAAGTATGGTCATCATCAGCGTCGTAATCAATCGTCGCCAGTGTATGAGCATCGTCATCATCATCGTCGTCGTAATCGCCGTCATCGTAACCCACCACCACCATAACCATAACAATCAGCAGCGTACACATCGTCAACAGCAGTAACATTGCCATAATGTCAGCAATATAACCGTCCTCATCATCATCCACATCAGTATCATTATCATCATCATCATCATCATCATCATCATCATCATCATCATCATCATCATCATCATCATCATCGTACTCATCATCACCAGCAGCATCATCATCAGCATCATCATCGTCAGCAGCAGCAGCATCGTAATCATCATCATCATCATCAGAATCATCATCATCACCAGCAGCATCATCATCCTCATCATCATCGTCGTCATCACCATTGTCATCGACGCGTCACCGTGATCGTCATCGTCGTCGTCATCATCGACGTCCTCACCACAGCCATAACCATAACCATCACCAACATCATCATCCTCATCATCATCATCATCATAATCCGTAGCATCATAAGCATCGTCTACTTCCTCGTCATCATCGTAATCGGTACCGTCGACATCCTCAAAAACCAAAACAGCATCACCGCCACAATCGTCGTCAGCATTCATCCTTCACCCTTCCTCGTTCGCGATCTTGCGCCGGTCCTTCTCGTTCCTCCCCAATCCTTCCTGCTTCCGTCCTCCTCCCTCCCTCTCGCTCCCCGGATACTCCATGCCCCTGGACGGCCGAGAGCGGATCGCCCTCCACGACGAGACGAGTGGCCCCCGAGCGGGCCCCGCCTGCTGCGCACCGCGGCGCGCACGCACGGACGGCGCGGCAGGGAGAGGGGCAGGGCCTTGTCTGTGTAGAACAGCTTCGAGTCCAGCGCCTCCTTCATCATCGCGATCTTGTCGGAGACCGCGGGGGCCGTCAGCGCGCGCACGTCCTCCAGCGCCGGGCGGTGGCCGCCCAGCAGAAGGGGAGACTGCGCGCACTACCCAGGCAGCTCCTCATGCTCACCCGTCCCTTCCCTCCACCTCCAGCTTTTGACTCTTGCATGGCTGCGGAGAAAAGGCCTCGGAAAAAAAGAAAGCTATGCCCGAGGCCGACTCCATCAGAGGAGACTTTTGGCGCCACTGACGAGGGTTCCATCCCCCCGCCAGCGACCCGACAGGAGCCGACCTCGGGGCTGCCACCTTACCCTGACCACGCCGGCAGATCAGGTGGCAGCTTGCCTGCCGAAAGGCGGGCCAGTACCCTCTTCCCATGGGCCGATAGGCCTGGGATACATTGACGGCCAAGATTCTGAAGTATTCCCCTTGAGAAGACAACAGTGCCCCTTGTCCTCCTCCTCCTCCTCCTCCTCCTCCTCCTCCTCATCCTCTTCCCAACTGATCATCATAAGTATCCTCCTCCGCCTCCTCCTCCTCTTCCTCGTGCCGCACGTCCCAATCCTCATTATCATCGGCTTCATATTCCCTATCATTCTCCCCCTTTCATCCTCATCATCATCTTGTTTGTACGTCTCCCTCCATCCCTATTCCGTATAGATGACTCCTCCCCGTCGCACCCCCAGGCGTGTCGGTATGATGGGCCTGTTTGGAAGGCGAGTGGTTTTCAGAATGGAGCTCTCGATTTAGCGCCGCGCACATTCGTCTTACAGGGTAGCAACAACTTCAAGGACGAAGGAGGGGCAGGGCAAGGGCAATTTTCAAAATGCTGGGCGCCGCGCACATTCGTTTACAGATTTAAACGCAGGTTCACGGATGGAAGGGGGGTTATCACAATGTGGCTCTCGCCTTAGCGCCGCGCACGCACATCCGTCATTAAAGTTCACATTCGCTTCACGGATGGAGAAGGGGAGTCTAGTGTGAAGATCGCCTTAGCGCCGCGCACAGTCGCCTTACAAGTTTGTAACAGTTTAAGGATGCAGGGCGATTCCATTTCAACATGTGGATCTCGCCATTGCGCTGCGCACTTTCGTCTTACAAGTGCTTAACAGTTTCTCGAGTGGAGAGAGGCGTTTAAAAAATGTTGCTCGCACCGTACCGCGCCGCACATTAGTCTCACAATGTTGCCGCACATTAGTCGCACCCTACTGCGCACATTCGTTTTCAAAAATTGCAAGGGTTACACGGATTGAGGGCAGTTCGTTTTCAAGATGTGCTTCTCGCCTTAACGCCGCGCACCTTCGTCTTAGAATATTGCAACTGGTCAACGGGTGGACAGATGGATCGTCTGCAAAATGGAACTATCGCCTTCGCTCCGCGCACATTCGTATGCACATGTCGTTATGGCTGCACGGATGGAGGGCACTTCAATTGCAAAAGGGGCTCTCGCCTTAGCGCCGCAAACATTCGTCTAAAAACTTCGCAACTGCTTCAAGGATGGAGCACCGGTCTTTCAAGACTGGGTTCTCGCCGCAGCGCCGCGCGCATTCCTTGTTGCGAATGCAACATTTAGCATGATAGGGGGGCCGACCACATTAGGACTTCTGTCGTGAGACTGCGGTACATAATGTTGAAAGCCCCTGACCTCAGCGCATGCAGTGCTGCACGGATCCAGGGCGGCGCGTTTACAAGTGGACATGTCGTCTGGGATGCCCTCAAATCTCATGACCACGAGTGCAAACGTGTGCACCAGTCAAACGGATGGGGGGCGGCCTTTCTTCGAAAGGAGGATATCGCCAGATACCTGGCTGAACTGCATGGTCAACGTTTCTCGCGTTCCTGATTGCGCGCCAGTAGTATGTAGGGCAACTCTTGTTCAAAGCAGATCGCTCGCCACAATGACAGGCCCAATTGTGATGGTCTTTCGAGGGAGCGCTTCTTGCAGTGAAAAGAAAACTTGTAGGTGCGTACGAGAAGGGAGCTTGGGACAGGAGGGTGTATTGCAGCATCGGTGATGCATATTTGGCTTACTCTGGTCATCCATCTCCTCCTCCGCTTTCTTCTCCTCCTCCTCCTCCTC